GTGACATAAGAGATTACATCAGATCAGTGTACATATAAGTGGTATTGAAAACAAAGCTAACCTACATGTACATGTAAACGAGGTATTGTTCTACCACTATCTATATATTATTATTACTAATACCTAATTTCCGTGGCTTCGCGTGCGTGGGAGTTATCGGTTTCGATACCGTTTTAACTATAATTGATCTATTTATATATGTACATACTAGCGTATACCTGCGGCTCCGCCCGCATAGTACATTAATCACCAACATATCATACTCGTATACTAAAACCTTTTCCGAAACACGCTGCATCTTATGGTATGAACATTATTCCTATCGGTTTAGTATCGCAGTATAACAGAACAAAAAATCGGTTCTCCATTTATTAGTATAGATTGAAGTACATATATAAAAATCGTAAATGTAATAAAATACCACATTTAATGTGTGCACGAATTATGCAATTTTCTTTACATCGTTACATTTAAGTTCGCAATAATAATTTGAATAAGCCACCAGAGAAATCATCTATACTGATATTATGAAGAGGTAAAGTTTGTGACATTGTAGGGGGTAATGTCTGGATCTACTGAACCGATTTAGATGATAGATGTTAAGAAGATAGTTTGAGATCCTGGAAAGGACATACTTCTTATCCCGGAAATCATCCGTTAAGGGGGTGAAAATGGGGACGAAAATTTGTATTGGGAAACAAGCCAGGGATGAACCCGAGCGAAGCGAGGGTGAGTCGCTAGTTAGTATATTATAAAACACCAATAGATTTTAGTACAAAATAATTAAAACGTAGAGTTAATAAAAAAAACACTCAAAGTTGTTAACCAATTTTATTACTAGCCTATGTTACTCAAGGTCGTAGTCTGTGTACTAGTTTTCATACAAATCGGTTCAGTTGCTTTATCGTGAATAAGTAACAAATATACACAGACATACGAATGTGATTTTGGTCACTGAATTTATAGTATTTTATTTTATGCTGTATATATTACACATTGAGACATATATCATCAAAATGAAATATAATTAAAAAGCAGGTCAATAAGAAAGAAAATGTTGCGTAAATGAACTGCAGTTACGACAACGTTACATAACTGGAGTGTACTGATTCTTTATGCACGTAAGTACAAGTTAAGAGTACTATCGAGACTGTATGTTTATATATATTAACATCTTCAAATACAATGTTGCAAGATTTTTTTCTTACAAGTCTTCAATTTTTCAAATATTTGATACTGGCGACTCACCCTCGCTTCACTCGGGTTCGTCCCTAGCTTGCTTCCCAATATAAACTTTCATCCCCATTTTCATCCCCTTAAGGAATGATTTTCGGGATAAAAATTCTATGTCCTTCCCAGGGTTTCAAACTATTTTCTTAGCAAATTCCATCTAAATTGGTTCGGTAGATTTAGAGATCCTTACAACCTCACAAATTTTACCTCTTTATAATATTATTATAGTATAGATACAATCTTGACCGCCGCTTTTATATTTTTATATTTATGTATAGGCGAAAATTTATATATGTATATTATAGGTATAGTATTTATATATGTAGTATAGTATTTAGGTATTGGTTAATTATATTTTACTTGTATTTATTTTGTATATATTATATATTTGTATAAATATGTAATCTTTCTACTGTCTCTTTATTTGTTATTCGCGCCCCTTCTATCTGAGTACTATTTCCTACACACCTAAAGGTTGCCTGGAAAAAATCGCTCTTTTAGCGATAAGGCCGCCTCTTCTATATTATGTATATTTTCTTTTTCTCTTTTTAGGTGTACAATAAAGAGCAATTCATTATATGACAAGTAAACGAGCCGTCTATATAAGCCAACGTCAGTACTTATTATCTATTACAAAATACCTATAAACATAGTGTGAAACATAAACAGTCCACTATAAATACTAGATAGGGACAAATGATTACATAAACAACAACAAAACTTTTGTACATTTACTTCCTCTAGTGTAAATGGCACCATTGACGTAATACTACAGAGTATAGATGAATTACGTCAGAGCTTTCACTGACCGTTTATAATAAAATTACAGCGCATCCATATAATAGATAGTACCTATTGAAAGCGCTACAATGTTCATCTTACTAGTTTGTACCCATAATATTATACTTTCTCAGATTTACGAGAATATTTGATATTTTAAATAAAACTATTTTCGCGGTTTTCTTTTTATATTCGTTTTTTGTTCTCGTCGTTTTAACTGTTTTACAGCAAACATGGCCGCGTCATGGAGAGAATAAGGTTTTTGACGTCTCAGAACTCATTAGTTATTAAAAACTTCCACCCACAAAATTATACAATAATTTGGCAAAATGGCACCAGAGTAGTTCATAACATAAAGAAAATTAATAAATTATTCTAATTGAGGTTTCCATAGTTATGCAACTTTGAAAGTATTTAATATGCATTGCTTTATAAATCTTAATTTTAAATCTTACAAACCGTCTTAGTCCGTACCCGCCGTTCTGATCAAAGAACAAAGTTTTCCCACGCAAATAAGTTGCCGATCAGGATAGAAAGTAGCTGCATTTCCCTGTTCATACTATATTTTCCAATAATGATAGCGACGTTTAAATCGTTAAATCAAAATAAAAGGACGTTAAATTGTTTTGTTTCTTATTTACTGGGTTAATATTATTGTCATATATTTTGTGCTTCGTATACATTTTACTTTATTTTAAATTATCACGAGCTTCTTTCTTAATTCTGCCGAATAACTATCTTAAATACATCGGATCTATTCCCAAGTGAGTTAAGTTCGTAGACGAAATACATTTTTTAGCACATATTTCTTTCACTCACTAAGTATATAGTAGGCGTATAGGATGTGTTAGGAAGCGATCCTGCGATCCCTATTAAGACGGGAAAGGTTCTGTTGGGTTTTAGTGGGTAGTACTGGCTTTTCTAGCCAGTAAGTCCCACATAACAACCTCTATGTGTACCTGTATCCAGGTGCCATGAGTAAATGCATTTCCCAACATTAAAAAAGGCATACAACACGCTGCCTAAACCGCTATAAAGCAAGAAATTGTTCACAAGACAGATTCCTGAAAATTCCTTCCCTAAAGCTGTTAATTAAGGGATTACAAGTTAATATAAAAGTTCACTATTTTTTGAAGTTAGTTGCGTGTTTTAAGTTTTCGTGGGCGCTTATGGAGAATCCCACCTGAATAATATATAATCATTTTATTTTACACATAATCCTAACCGCAACAAATATTATATTGGCGATCAAAATCAAATAAGTACAAAAATGTCAAAAAAAGTTATTATATGATTAGAAAATAAGGATAGTGAAAGTTATCCAAAATTAAACTATAATTTACAATAACAACACTGTAACGATGTAATGAAGGTAATTTTACAAAATAACGAGTGTCAGTTACGTGTATAAAAATTTCCACGACAGTGAACCCAATTTCGTTATACCTACGCTATACCTACCTACGCTATTCCTTTTACAGTATACACATAACTTAGTTCCTCCATTTCTTCTTTGAATTAGAACGCGATGTAATAATCCATTTGCTTAGAGTATCAAAAGTTTTTTTGTATTAAACATACTTCAATTCAATTTTCTTGAAAAAAAAAAGATCTTATCAATTTAATTGGCTTAAAAACGTGTCAGTTGAGCACAGATTACTTCGCCGATGTCACGTAGAATGGAGAAGACACGAGGGAGATTGGTTTTAAACGCGTAATAAACAAATATGTCGTATACAGTTTGCCTGGCATTAATATGGATTAATAATAAGGATTCCTTTTACTTACAATGTATTTCTTTATTTCATATTTCATTTACTTATTTATTCATAAACACTGAATGTGATGTGATGTGTGGTAGTGGTCGCATATTAAATATGTAATTTAAAAATTTATATATGTCTATTAATTAACAACAAAATTTACCGACGACCTATAAAATTAAACTGTTACATAAAAGCATTTAAGAAAATTTATATGTTCTCTGAAATGCAGGTTTCCATTATAATGTAGCATTTATAATAAAAAAAATTATAAAAAAAATTATCTTTACCATATCGAATTTCGTATTCTTTAATATATATAGGAAATCATAAGAATGAGTACTTACGCTGTTTTAAATGTCTGGACGCCATTAACCTTGTAAATGTTTTGTTGGAATTTTCTTAATAATACTCTGGTAGATAATAAAAAAACGGTTACCCATCTAAATATAAACCACTGGTTAATTACCAAATCCTTCAATTGTTAATGTCATCATTATATTATTATGAACACTCTATATTTATTTTATGTATTTTTGTTTATAATTATTTCTATTCACACACATACGATATTAAATACAATCAAAAATCCAACGTAAAACGTATACAGCCTTATGTATATTGTATAATAAATATGTCTTGAAAGAAAGTTGTTTTACAAAATCTGAGTCTAAAAAAATCTAATAATATCAGTTGCGCCAAAAATATCCTCTGTCTTATGAAGTCATGTTAATATAATCAATTTAATCATATATTTTAAACGTGTTTTTTTTATTAAAGGAAGCTCACTTTTGTAGACTCACCTCTCTGTTCTAGCGACAAACTTTCAAATGTTAATTTTAGAACAGTCTATAAGTCTTAAGTCTTAAAGTCTAATAGTCTCTTATTCGTCTATAAGTGTAACAATCGACTTGGTAATATTATCTTGATGCAAATGTTCAATTTAGAAAGTGTCTGACCGTCCTTAATAGAAATGAAATGATACGTTACGGTTACGAAATTTGGGTAATAAATTTTGTCAAAAAATTATTTGCATTTGTACGGCAATAAATAAAATTCGTCGTCTGTTGTACATATAATCATAAGTTTAAAAAGTTTCGCAAGCATTTTTTACCACTAATAAAAAGTACAATAATATAAAACAAAATTGTCCGCCAAAAACCTTTTTAAAACGCTCTTTATAATTAACATAGAAAAAATATTTCAAAATAATAATTTAAATCATGTTATTCTAGCACTTACTTGAGTCATTCCAAGTCTGTAACTAGTAACATCCAAATCCAGAGCTAAAAGCATATCGTCTACGATCTGTCGGTCCGACATCGATGTTTGTTGCGTTGTCTCATCGTTCTCACTCTCCGACGTTGCTAACAGACGATATCTGGTGAGAGATAATACTATCAGGCTCGAAGGACCATTGTATTGATATTTTCTAATTAATACTTATTTTTCACTGCAATTTCGCACACGCACCGTACATACGTATTTTGATGTCCATCCAAATTATTAAGTAGTATTGGTTAATTATTTTTATCAAATAAGACAACTGTGGTAGGCGGACCTACTGGTAAAATGCTCGCTTGGGAAACCAAGTGAAGCGGATTCAAATCCTAGGTTTCGCACTTTTGATACATGCTAATCAATTTCAACACAAAAAAGCTCTCTACTGTAAAGTAAAAGTAAAACAAGTATTGGTGGTTTGTATAACAAATAAGCACTAAGGCGACGATATGCTAATACATAAATACTAAATACCTAAGCAATCGTATTACGAATCGGATTTTTTAATATCATTTGTTGATCTAAGTTTATTTGTTCTTACCTTCTTGCGAATTCAGAAAGCGGCATGTGTTCAGGGAATCCTTGTTTATACAACCTCGCCGCATCGAGTAATTGGAAGCCACGGAACTAGGAATAAAATCACATTGTAAGTTGTAATAATAAACGTAAAATCATTGATATAGATAAACTCAAGATACAAAATTAGCGTCTCAAAAGTGTCCTCAAAAAGAAGTGAACAATTCGAAATTAATTAGCGCTTTTTTCAAATCTCTTTTTTCATTACTTTTCAGATGACAAAATTAAAACGCAAGTTGTTTCGTATATAAAAGTACTTTAAGTGGTGTGCGTAAGTTTAATCTAGAGTTAATACAGTAAGTTTTATGTTTGTATTTTTTATATTTATTAATTGTAATAAACATATGTACATATATTATATTTTATTAGTGTTGCAATTTAATAATTACATATGGAAAATACTGGTGTTAAATCACTTTATAGCAAACTCATTATTTTGATAAAACAATTATTTTTGGGCATAAACAGACCTTTTGTTGAGAGCTTATTTTTTATTTATATCTCTATCTACTTAAAATTTAAATATGATTCAAGAACTAATTTATGGACTTTCGAATAAAAGGGAATGAATTCATATTAGGTACTAGCGACTCACCCTCGCTCCGCTCGGGTTCGTCCCTAATTACGTTTTAACTTTTAGCATAGATTTCTCAGAGATGAGATATTTTCCCGCAGTAAAAAGTATCCTATATGTTGACCCAGATAACCAGCTATCATCATACCAAATTTCATCAAAATCTATCCAGTGGTTTTCCCGTGATGCGGTAACAAACAGACAGACAAAAAATCTAAAAACTATAGATTCGACCACTATATCGATAATAATGTCTATTTCGATAAGATTTTCCAAAAAATATTTAATGTACAGATTCGGCTTAGTTACAATTTTATTATATGTGTAGACATGAACGAATTAACCACTGGACCAGACATATAAGCAGACGTACCTTTAACGGTCATGTCAGTAACCAGGGAATTTTAGCCTAGGTCGTTTGTTTTTTGTGTCAGTCTCAAGCACTTACTTGTCAACAAAACATCTCCCAAAAATGACTAAATGTTCTGTTAAATGGTGTAAAAACTATGACGGTGGAAGCAGCACTATTTCTTTTCACTTGTAAATACATTATTTTATTACATTTATTGTTATTTATCACAAAATTTAATTAAATGTAAAATAAAATGTCATATTATCCAAGTATGTTAAATATAGTCGATATTTCTACGTATTGTTGACATCTGACAACCATCATAAACGGGCTGGATTATACCATTCAGAACAAATGACAAAACTGTCGACTGAGTCCATTTGACATCGACTAGTGCTTGACAATGTCGAAAAATATATCGATATTTGACGAAATAACTGAACGAATTGTGTTATTTGTACAGTACAATAACATAAAATACTTTTATCGCAGTATCCTACAATCTGATGATAATAAATTTATAAAAATATTTTCTAAATCAAAAATATAAATGCAAAAATTATAATTAGTATGTGTACTTAATTTTTTATTTTATTTTATACCACATTTATATACTTTGGAATATTATTCCATTGTAATAATAATAAAGATCATTTTATTTCAACACATAAATTACACAAAATCAAACAATAATGTTTTAGTACTAAACATCTGGGTTGGCGATTTGTAATGAAACACTTTACCACTTGCACTAATTATTTTACTTTCACGATCCAACACTCACCTTTTCACAATTTGCAATCACTTTTTCTTTTTCCTAATTTCGCAAATGTTTATTAATAACTGAGCAATATTAGGACAGTGTCACATTTTTATAACTACCCGAGACAATCAATTGCCAATTTAAATAGTTCAATAACAGAATCAACAAAATCACTTTATTTAATTAAATTAGCTTAATATTTTTTTAATCTTTACAAAATTATATTTATTATATATTAATGGAATATACACCCGATATTCATTTGTTTATTAACATTATTATAGGCCAAGAGAATGTTGCCATCAATGCCATCGTATTTATATAAATCAAATTAAAAAATAATTATTATTTGACACATTATTATTGCCTCTTTAATTCATTTATTTTAATTTATTATAATAAATACAGATATTTTAAATTAAAAGATGTAAAATATGATGACTATGCTAACCAATGTCTAAAATATCATTCATTGGTTCATCGATATATGTATTTTATCGATTACGTTCAAACACTAGAAATATTGTATTGTGTATCAGTGTTTATAATAATGTAATAAAATCTTTGTGTGCGTTATGCGTCACTTGGTTGAACTAGTTTTCATACATTTGTATTTTATGTCAGGTCCAGTCTATAATTCGTCCATGTGTGTAGAATATAGATATATTATTTCAACTGAGTAAAATCAAATTTCGCTAAAATTATGTAGATGTCTAGTATTGTTTAATTCCAGCTTATCCCACGGCTCCGCCCGCGTATTCTATTTATGTATAAGTGTTTCGAATCTAAAAACCGTAGCGTGATGTTAGATAAGCTTAACCTTTCTCAAGAATTGAGCGATCAAAAGATTTTTTTAATCTGGTAGTTCTAAAACTATCGATAGGACTAGCTATGGAACTAGTTTAATAGTTATAGATAATCAATAAAAAAAACTCTTCAGTTATAATCCATACTAATGTTATAATGTGAAAGTGTGTTTGATTGTTTGTTCGTTTGTCTTTCTTTTACTTCGAAACAGAGTGACAGATTGGCGTATTTTTTGTATGGAGATAGTTGGAAGGCTGGTGAATGACATAGGCTGCTTTTTACTGCGGGAGATGATCTAATACCCACGGAAAAACACGTTAAAATACAATCAAAACAAATCAGATTTAACTGAAACTTGGTATTAATGTTCTTCAATACAATTAAATAAATACTTGTTTTAGCATTTTTCGAAATTCGTCCTATAAGGGGGTAATATAGAGGATGAAAGTTTGTATGAAACCTATCTTTTTAGAGATTTTTTTTGTAGTTTCAGCGCGAGCGAAGCCGCGGGTTTCTCTAGTAACTACATATATTCGTATAGATACCTGAGAGCGCAATAACGGTATGTTGACGTCATCAAGCGACTCATTCGGCTGGTTGGTGAGCAGGCAGCACACAAAGTGGACACCGCCGGCGCCGCAGCGACGCAGCGTGTCCACTATACCGTCTGCTACGAACTTCGCTTGCAGAGCCGTAGAACGTCGCTTCATACCTGCTGTACCTGTGTTGTATTATATATTTTTATAGTATTTTTTAATATCTATATAATGTATGAATATGAGGCATTGGTAACTCACTCGCTTGGATAACCAAGTAAAGCGGGGTTAAATCTCGGGTCTCGAAAATTTGATCGATCGCTAACTTTACGGTAAAGAAAAATATCGTAGTAACTTACGAAGTCCGCCAACCCACAATTTTTAAGTATTTCGAAATACGAGAAAAGCCTGTGCCAGCAGTTGGACTTTAAAGAGATCTAAATGAAATATGATAATTGTGTTTTATCAGTTCGTAAATGACACCAGACAGACAGACGTACCTCACAATTTATCCAGAATTGAAAGGATAAGTAGAGGTCAAAATTAAGTTACATTTACGCGACAAATAACGAATGCCCAGAGGCAAATGAATAGATAACATTTATAAAAACGTTAATTTTACTTCTTTCCTAAACCCACTCCCTCTCTATCCCCAAATCACATTTCTATACTCAATATAAAAAAATAACAAAATGGCTTCTTTCGTTACTTTAAATCTATGAATAAATGTTGTGTTAAAACGACATTATCAAGTTAAATGTTAATGATTTCGGAATGAAAGAAAAAATATAACTAGAAAAATATTCATTTTCTCAAACATATTTTCTATATGATACGTGACTATTACATGTTACTTATGTAATGCAATAATTTACACACTATATACAATATTTAATAGAAAAAAAAACACAAAGAATTCCAAAATGTAACAACTTTACTTAATGACGTTGATTTAATAAGAAATAAACTAAACTACTTAATTACAATACAGAACTAAAACTTTGTATAACAAATGATTTATACTATACGATCTGAAAAAACGTAGTGGCTAGTTCAGATGGTTTGTTCAAGCAGATACATTATACCTCGCAACGTGGTGTAAGGTGTTAGTCTTATGATATTAAATGAGCAATTCTTGTGTATGTATACATATATATATATATATATATATATATATATATATATATATATATATATATATATATATATCAAATTTTACATTTAGATAAGGTTTAGCTTTTTATGTTTATCTTCTTTTCTTAAAAAAACGCATTTTTTTATATCTTTTCCAAAAAAAACATGATTTCCCAAAAAAAATGCCGAGAATCTCGGTCACCCAATATTAGTATATACATAGTATAAGAGCATTATTATTGGCACAAACACTGTTTATTGACGGATGGACCAATTAATTAACAAAGCTAAGTTTCTAATTGGTGACCACTTTATTGAAAACCACTACAAGTTTTTGTGCTATATAGAGCATATTAATTTGTTAATGACACGACAATATTTGAGAGGACCAATCAAAAACTTAATAAAATTAAAAAAACAAAAAACATTCTCTGCATCTCTAGTTTCTTATGCCAATTTTAAACAAGAATAATACAAGCCAAGTACTTTCTAAAATTAGTTTACATAAAGGCGATCGATATTTTAGAGCTATTATTATAAAGTAGCAATCACAACGCCATCTGAATTAGCATACATATTTATAATGTAATACTACTATATCACTGTGTAGCAATTGAGCGCAGGTTGATAGTATCAAATATGACTTCTTTATTTGTTCTCTTACCACAGTTGAGAGAACGCCGTAAAATCGAGGCTCGACAAAATGGAGAGGCGTCAGCTAATATTAAAACAAAACACTTCTGTTGATTGTTGTGTTTATTTGTATTCGGAAAATATAAATTTTCTATATACGAGTACATAGATGTCGTATTCAATTATTACACATTCTCGATTCGCTAGGGTGCGTCCCTAAGTATTTTTTTTTCTTTGAGCGGGACCCTAATTCTTGTTCTAAAATAAAAGTAGCCCAAGTTACTCTTTATAATATCAGCTATCTTGCCAGTGAAAATCAGGTCAAAATTAGCCGGAACAAGCAGACAGACAGACAGACAGACAGAAATTGTGTTTCTCTTATAAGTACCGTATATAATTTCATATGTATTTAGTGACAAGTTGTTATTTTAACATTACAAACAGACATCTGTATAGATAAAAAAAACAATTTATAACGAGAATGAGGTTTACATCTGCACTTATAAGAAAAAATAAGGTAACAAAACGCTTTAACATTTTAATAAGCTATTTCCAATTTCTTTTCCACTTAAGACATATTGTATAGAGTCACGTAACATCTCTATACCTCGCAACAGGAAATCGTGACTACAAAGGCTGAAATCAATTTATTCGTTCGCCGCTTTATTTCACTTTTTCAATCGATTCACATCAACAAAAAGCACTTAATAAAGTCGGAAGTATCTAATTGTACAATCACATTAATCTATACTAATATTATAAAGAGGTAAAGTTTGTGAGTTTGTGACGTTGTAAGGGGTAATCTCTGGATCTACTGAACCGATTTAGATGAAATTTATTAAGATAGTTTGAGACCCTGGGAAGGACTTAGATACTTATCCCGGAAATCATCCCTTAAGGGGGTGAAAATGGGGATGAAAGTTTGTATTCGGAAGCAAGCCAGAGACGAACCCGAGCGAAGCTAGGGTGTCTCGCTAGTATTGTATATGCTAATGTTTATAAATGAGTTCGCATAACGATTTTTTCATAAAATATATTTTATATTTGAGATTGTTATTGTAAAAACGATCTATCGTAAATCGTTATCGTAATCTTAATCTACTAAGCCTAAAATAAAAGGTTTTACCGGTAGCCATTAAAGAGTTTCACTATACACTTTCTGACTCTATTATTAAATCAGGTCGATGGCATCTGATTATATATTGTACTGCCATATAAGGATATCAAAGATTTAATCTCTCCGATCAAAAGATGTAGATTAAAATTTTCAATATTTCCAATATTTCACTAATTTACATAGTTAGTCAGCTACAAATAAAGTGAAATAAAAGTGTGTTAGAAATAATAAAAATCACTATATATTAAAATTAAAGTCGTCCAGCACTAGGTTTTTGTTTGTTCGGGCAAATATCAAAAAATACTGTACGGATTTTTCTATACTCTTCACCAATAAAACGACTAGCGTTATCCAGTTGCTCCGTCCGCGAAGTACATTTAAAAAATAAACCTTTTCAACGTTTCAAATGCTTTACAGCAAACGGGTTGAAAAAACGAAAAGTTTTGTTTAAAACTAACGACTTACTCTCACTTTGCTCGGGCGCGTCCCTAGGCATGTTTTTTTGAACGGACTCTAATTCTTTTTCTAAAATAAAAGTAGCCTAAGTTACTCTTAAAACATCAGCTATCTGTCAGTGAAAGTCCCGTCAAAATCAGTTCAGCGTTTTAGGTTAGCCGGAACAAACAAACGGATAGACAGACAGACAAAAATTAAAAAAAAGTGTTTTTCTCATAAGTACCGTGCCTATATAATTTCATCATATGCATTTAGTAAAAAGCTATTTTTTTGACATTACAATCAGACACTGGAATGTTATTTATCTGTATAGATATCAAATATACGCATAAGTCTATGAAAATATTAGTACATAGTAAGTATGTAAATAATAAATATGTACCTGAAGTGAGCGTCCTGCGTATGGAGGAGGCGCGCCGCAGCGTGGAGGCGTCGCCCGCGGCGGCCGGCCACGCGCCCGCGCCGCACGCGCCGCGCGGCCACGACGACAGCCGCCCGATGTCCTCGCTGCAAATAATATTACTTTATTTATGTATTCATTTACGACACTGCAACAACCACACCTGTCGCAATTTATGATATACTAGCAACTCACTCCCTAGCTTGATTCCCCATACAAAGTTTCATCCCCATTTTATATAACTACTGTCCTAAGTCCTTTCCAGGGATAACTACTATCCTAAATCCTTTCCAGGGTCTCAAACTATCTTCTCACCAAATTTCATCTAAATCGGTTCAGTAGATCCAGAGATGGTAATCCTAACAACGCCACAAACTTACAAACTTATAATATTAGTATAGATAGATTCATTTACGACAACGACAACTAAACCTGTCGCAATTTACGATATAAGAAACGATAATGTACAATAGAGACGTTGCATTATTATTTTTTGCCACAAATATATATACAAATGAAAGAATAATACATTCAAAATATATTTAAATATATTTTTTTTGTTATTAAAAAATTATTTTATTAATAATTATTAATAAAAAATTGTTAAATTTTTGAACGAAATAAAACGACTTTTGATTGGTGGTGACGTCATTATATCCGATGAGGCTTTGAGCCAATCGCAATCATACTATACTTTTGTATGTTCTATATTCGGATCACCGTGTGTCATAACAAAATAGTCAAACGTCAATTAAATAATTTCAAAACAAATATAACCTGTATTATGCAATGACAACTTTTTTGATTTTGACAACGTAAAAATGTGTTTTATCATTTCGCGATGCGGTGGCGTTACTAAAGCGATATAATATCGTCATTGGCGTATCAGACTAAAGTTAGAAATGTGGGAATTAGGCTTTTATTAATGAATAATTGATAGGAGATAGATTTACACAATTAAGTTCAAAACACGAACTATATGTGTAACTTTAAATAAAACTATCTTTTCGGATTATTTCGCGGGTTTATTTTGATTTTTGGTTCCCGACGTTTCGAATGCTTTACAGCAATCACGGTCACGTGAGAGTCTCTCCCGTGAAAGAACCGCGAAATAATCCGAAAAGATAGTTTTATTTCAAATTGTCAAATATTCGCGTAAATCTAAGAAAGTATTACATATGTAGATAAATTATTACATAGTTTAATATATTTACATATTAATCATCTTTATACATGTGCTAAAACACCACACCATTACGTACTTTTGACTCTCTTGTAACAACGTGTGCGCCTTCTTAAGGATAGGATTCTCGCGGCTCGCCTTCACCCACCCGGTGACGTCATATAACACAGGATTAGTGCCCTGAAAGTAAAATAAATTTAATATATTTGCATATACTAGCTTCCTTCTGCGACTATGCACAATAAATAAAAAATAAGTAAAACAATACATATTTAGGAATGTCTTCAAGTCACAAAGATTAATTCTTCAAAACTTCAAAGTATCTTTAAACATAATTATTGTATACTTATGCCCGATTTCACCAACAACCCATAAGCTACCACCTACGTATGGGATCCCTAGCTTAAAATTCCCATAAACTAGCCCCTAAATTAAATTTCGTTTTACCATCGTCTTTAAGCCCATATTTCGAGCATCTAAATTTAGGGGGCCTTTTAACATTTAGGTGACGCCTAACTGTCGGTGAAAAAGAAACTGTCCCCTAACAGCCCCCTAACCATGCTTAGGGGATCCCTTAAACTTAGGTGACGTTGGTGAAATCGAGCATTAGAATCATAAAAATCAATTCACAAATGGCGAATATATCGCGTAACATACACAAAAAATAAAAGAATTAAATTCAATTCTGAAGCTGATGAAAAATAGCCTACATGATAAAAATATTGAAATATCGTTTCAGCCAATCTGATGAGAAGGAAAAATTTTAGGTGAAAATTGAAAAGGAAAGATAAAGGGAACCTTCTTTAATTTATGTTTTCGATCTAATCCCCGAAATGTATAAATATCTATACAAAAATGTGTACTACACAAAGTGATATACAAAAAAAAAATAGAAAATTTTATTTCTTAACTACTACTATAAATGACATAGCCGAAATATATTATAAATTCCTTTTAACCTTCTTAAAATGTTTCCAATCATCCAAATCCATTCAGTACTTAATGCGTAAGCATAGCGTTCGTAAAGGAGTAAAAAAGACAGATAGACAGACACACGCGCACGCACATACACACACACACATACACTTCCGCATCTACGATAGTAATAACATGACAACCCAGTACCTGTAAATGTTGCAAGATGAACTGCCTATTATGCGGGGCCTTCTTGATGAGGTAGTGTGTCTGGTGCGGCGCGCCGTAGTGCGCCATCACGCGCTCTAGGAACGTGTCGTCCGACGAGCCCGGGTACATCGACTCTTCGTCTAAGAGCCTGCATATATTAAACACATGTGTTCTTTCAATATTTGGTTCTCGACGCGTCGAATGTTTTTTTGCAAATGATCAAAATGTTCAAAAATGTACTATAAGTAGTTAAGTTATAGTACAGTACTAGTTTAAATACTCCCTCCATCTTATAAAAAAAAAATTGGCCACCCCAATTTGAGCTATTTTGTATGACCTAAATTCACCCTAGATAATATATATATATATATATATATATACATACATATATATATATATATATATATATATATATCATAGTCAAAACAAAATAAGCGGTGACTCATGTAGATGGTGAATCATGTATTAGCAACTCATAAAACGAAAACAGTGCCATCTATGAAGTCCAGTACAAACTTATTATATAACGACTGATCTTACAATCATCATCATTAATCATCAGTTTATAAGCAATAACAGATTAATTAATCATCACCCCTAACCATAACAGTCCTCGTCGGTCGCAGTCACGAAGATCGGCCTGCGAGCTTCGTACGATACTGTTCTGAGGTGCCTTGTCCAGCAAGTCAACCATCGGACCAGGGTTAACGGTTTCCGATAGCCAGTCTGTAACATAAAGATACATTTTATTTATTCATTAATAAACTCCAACAGAAGAACATAAAAAAGTGAATGTTGTGCAATTCACACATTGTAGAAGTGAAACTTCAGAAAAGTAACCTATGAGAGAATGAGATGAATATAGAGTATCAGAAGTAGGATAATTATAAGATTGTTTTTTTTTATATTTTTACCAAGTTTAAAAGTTATTTAACATTTTTTTTGACATTAATATAGATTACATATTATTCAGTAATGAATTTTATTATTTTTCACTTCCGGTGTAATGTATTCTATCTCAAATAAAAACAGTTCCCAAGGCAAAATGGCAATGAATTCCATCTCATTCTCTCACTGGCTTAATCCTATATATTTATGTGTTTATCTCTTTTTAGAGTTGCATTTCCGTTTCATCGAGTTTCAAATCACAACGATTCTAAAGAAGTTTCACTTCAAAATACAAAAAAAAAGTTCAGTGGACAGTGTTTAAAATGTGCCGCCAATTACTGAAGAACACAACGTACACTAGAATAATGTACATAATATTACTAAAAATTTATTACTCAAACTAAATTTAAGAAAACCGAATAAAAAAATTGTCATAATAATAAAAAAAATCTTTTATTTATTTGTATAAAATTCCATAGTATTAGTTTTGGAGAGCCAAAGTGTTGATTTCAGCGTCTGACACTGACATAATGTGTCATTTAAAACAGTGTTGTGTTTTTCCAAAATATGCAGACGCACACATTGGTATTCGCAAAAAAGGCAAGTTTAGGAAATATATTATATTTCAAAAAAAATATTTCTTCTTACCCTCTTCTGAGCCGTCATCTAAAGTGATGCCCTCTTGTGCGTAGCGCTCGCGCGGCGCCACCAGTAGAGCTTCGTGGAAAACTGCTTGGAGACGTTCCTTTAAAATATTACAATAGTAAATAATTATATTATAAATATTTCCTATATTATTAATAAACATTATAAAATGTTTTTAGTAAAAAATAATAAACTAGCGACTCACCCTCGCTTTGCTCGGGTTCGTCCCTAGGTACGTTTTGTTTTTTTTTTGAGCGGAACCCTAATTCTTTTTCTCAAATAAAAGTAGCCTATGTTACTCTCTATAACATCAGCTATCTTCTAGTAAAAGTCCCGTCAAAATCAGTCCAGTCGTTTCAGACATTATCCGGAACAAACAGACAGACAGACAAAAATTTTAAACATTGTGTTTTTCTTATAAGTACCGTATACCGTATACATATACATTTAATAAAACGCTGGTTTTTTGACATTACAAACAGACACTTCAATTTATTTATCTGTATACATGTGTAGATTAATAATTAATCATAAAAAAATACTATTTTAATTAATACCATACGAAAAATAAATAACTTTATAAAACCGTTGAGTCTAGTAGTATTAAGTCTTGCATAAGATTTCCTTATATAACATAGGTGATTTATAAAAAATAGAACAAATAAATATGTAATAAAATTTTTGATGAAAATACGTCATTTAAAAAATAAAATGGAAATCGATGTTTATCATCCTCTTTATATTAACCATAGAAAACTACACGAGAGTCACTCATAATGAATGATGTATATAAAAGCAAAAATGAAGATTCTGTTTATATTTCCGATAGAAAATTACTAGTATAGGTTAGTTAGGCTAAGTATAGGAACAGAGACCGAGTCTTCAACCTTCGCAGGCCCACACGGAACAAATCACCAGAGTTTCATCACAATCCGATTAATAGTTTAAAAAAGCTTAGAGGACAAACATATAAAGAAACATTCATTTTTAATTATGTATATAATATAATAATATACCTGTAAATAATTGGAGAGTAATTTGGATAGCGCGGCGCCGCTCTGCTGGCCCGCGCACATGGGGTTGTCCGCGCCCGGCGTGTCCAGCAGCAGCAGCGACGCCGACGTGCGCGCCGACGTCGACACGCTCCTGTATACGTTCATTTTAAATGTTTACTTTTTGTGTTTTATTTATTACTGTATATAGATATAGGATCCGCGTATGCAAACAAAAACGTTTAATAATACTCCAAATATTTACTATAATTACATTACTGAAAACCACGTTAACGCGTATCGTCGTGTCGCCGTTATGACTTATCATTCTCCTTTTCTCCTGTTCATTTTTTATTCCATTTTATTCTTATACTCATAAGTCTTTTTTAATCTAAAAATATAATGTCATGCATACTTACAACCTCGCAAAATCCCACATAAATAATATTACCTTTAAAGTCATATACATATTTAAGTTTAATAAAAATGGAATAAAAATATTAAATATTTTTAACCCCCGACGCAAAAAGAGGGGTGTTATAAGTTTGACGTCGATGTCTCTCTGTCTGTAGCTCTCAAACGGATGCACCGATTTCGATGCGGTTTTTTTCATTTGAAAGCCAGTTACCTTGCGGTGGTCCTTAGCTATATTTGGTTAATATCAGTCCAGTCGTGTAAGAGTATCAGCTCTTTTCCAAAATGATGTAAGCCATTTTGGCGTATGATTACTCGATTAAGTGCTTCACGCGTGCCAGTGTAATCGTTAAATGACAGTTAATTTGCGTAGGGTTTTTTTTTTAATTATTGTAACATTTTTTATATTAAGTACACTGACACGATTTGTAATATTTTTCTTAATAATATTAAAAGAAATTATATAGAGTTCGATAAATAAATTGATATTAATAAAATTTAAAGGCCAAAAAAGTTGCGTAAAATTAATTTATATTTTTCAGTTATCATCTGGTTAATAATAAGTAATCTATATATATAAAAGAAAGTCGTGTTAGTTACTTCGCTTATAACTCAAGAACGGCTGAACCGATTTAGCTGAAAATTGGCAGGGAGGTAGTTTAGAGCCAGGAGAAGGACATAGGATACTTTTTATCCCGTTCGACCGCGTTCAGATTTTTATGATATTTTAATTTTTGGATTTCTCTTAGTCCGGAATAGGTAAGTATTAAAACATATAATTAAAATGTGAGAAAGAAAGATTTTTTCTTTTTATATCTATTTAAAACGTACCTAGCGACGAACCCGAGCGAAGCGAGGGTGAGCCGCTAGTATAATATAAAATTATTATATTCGATATATTGTTTTAATTTAAACAAAACCAGCGTATATGTCTATACATGTACCTATTGACTAAAGCAGCGACGATATTAAATGTTTCACTGTAGAGTCCACTGACAAACGCATCGAGTGCTTCTGAGCCTGGTGCCTCTTTCTCGTTTGACGGCGATGGAGTTCTGTAATATTATAAAACAAATTTTAAAACTAAAATAAATATCAACTTTTAGGGACAAGTTATTTACTAGCGTTGGATAGAAGCATAATCATACTGTATATGGTTCTCCAAGAGTTCCTTATAGAACCATATTGAATATTAAATAAATAAATAAATATATTGGAACATTAGCACACAGCACCGTCTAGTTCCATGGTAAGCTACGAGGGTTGTGTTATGGATACCTGACAGATGATACACTACTCATATATAACTTTAAATACATACATATTATAAATATAAACACCCATGACTGGAGTATAAACATTATTGCTCATCACAAATATGAATGCCCCCAGCGGGTCTCGAACCCGCGACAGCTGGCACAGCAAGTAGGGTACTACAAACTGAGCCAAACGTGTTGTCAATTTTTTCAAAATTCATCCTCTAAGTGGTTATCGAGCACAGTATCAATCCATAAAGTCACTTAGCAAAAGTAGTCGAGACAAGCAAATCGTGTGGGTCCTCCCGACTGTCATACTTACTTTTATATGACGGTTGGAAATTGGCTTTAGGGCTGACTTGTAACAAGTACAACTGTGACTGGCTACGAGAAGGCACTACAATGTTCGTTCTACAACTTCGAAAGCATTCGCTATGAAAATTGATATTTTTGACAACCCTTGCACTGCATTAAAGCATTTCTGTCAAAATAAATGGGCAATCGCCTGCTATATGGATTTTTATACTGCGTTGAAAGTTTGAATGGAAAAGAATACTTTTTCGGGTATGAAATAAAAAAGCAGCCTGGCATTTTTGCACTTTTGTTCCATTGTATAATTTTCTGGGTAGGTGCTGTCTGTAAGTACAATATAATGACCATTGATACATCTAAAACGTTAGCCTCTCTCGTGACCATGGTAGCTGTAAAGTATTCATAACGTCGGGAACCAAAAATCGAAATAAATCCGCGAACAAATCCGAAAAGATAGATTAATTTAAATGTCAAATATTTGCGTAAATTTAAGAAAGTATTAGCCTTACATAGCTTCGGCTTTGGTCGCTAATTAGAGTTTATACTCTAGTAATTATTTATTACTACATATAAAATACCTTAAATTAGACGGCGGCTGGGGCGACGGCGGCGTGGCGGGCGCGAACACGGCGCGCGCTAGCTCGTCCGCGCCCACGCCCAGCAGGCGGCCCGCGCGCGTCGCGCTCCCCGTGCTCGCGAACTGGTACTTTAGACCTGACGCTGTGTTCGCTGTGAGAACATACACAAATATATCCTACTAATATTATAAACGCGAAAGTTTGTAAGAATGTATGCAAGGACTAAGGATATATGTTTGTTACCCTTTCACGCAAACACTAACGAATGGATTTTGATGAAACTTTACAATAATACAGCTCAAAAATAAAGTCTTCCCGACCGATTTCCGTCAAAAAATTTACGACATACCCAGCGCTGCCAATTGGCGGGTAAATTACCTGAAAAGCGGGTAAATTTTAGGCGATTTTTGTTAGCGGGTAATTTTGACGGGTATTGTTAGGGTCCTGGTGGACGTTAAAATAAAGAGTGGACTGTATAATATTTATATTTAAAGCTGGTACAATCGTCGTTCGTCGTTACAATTGAATAGGGAAGACAAATTGAATTATTTTGAGTCGTCTTGTCGCCACGGGTCTCAAAAGGAAGTGAAGTGCTCCGTCGTGTAATGGTCGCTCGCCGTGGCTGTCGATGGTGGGGCTGCGACCGCGGCCCGCCGGTGTCCACTGTTGCGTTTTACGCAACATGTATTTTAGTAGAAAGCAAGTATTTTAGCTCAGCTGATTAATTATTTGATATTTTAAATTTTTTTATAATTGATTTAATAATTTAAAACGGTATAATTTAGAACTGAACACAATGACTTCTTTTTCTAACATTAGTATTTTCTTATATTCTATATAATGAATAAAAACTATTTTCGGGTATTCTGCTCATGGTTGGCGCTGGGGGGATAAACCGGGTATTTTGAAGTTTATTGGTCGGGAAAATCAAAGACTGTTATCTGGCAGCCCTGGACATACCTCTAACAACGCCGGCCCATCCCAAATGACACACAGCTGCTAAAATCTTCCAAATTGCCATCTGCTCTTGCTCGGTCACGGCCAGTACTTGCAGGGCTTCCTTTAGGGCGGAGAACTCTGACGGGGCCTCCGCTTTCTCCGTCGAACACACGTAGGGATTCGGTGCGTTTACTGGCGCTTGGTCTAGTAACAGCTCACGTCTAAGACGACCGTCGCACCCGTGGAATAATCTAGAACAGGGTTATGTATATAAATATTAATTAGTATTAAATTTTCTACAAAGTCATTTTTACCTACCACATAGTAATCATTACTTCAAAAAAAAATTTGAACGTATATAAATAAGCTTACAATAAAAAAATAGAAATTAAGCCTCAAAAATGATTTCATAATTTAACATTATTTATGAATAATTTTAGGTCCAAGACTCGCTGCGTAGTAAATTAAACTTATTATACTTTTTTTAGTTAAATGGAAACATTGAATTTTATATTTGAATTAGAAACTCTAGGATAACTTACAAATAAATTTAAAAAAAACCATATATCACTTTTATAGAAATGAACAGAAAATATTGAAATTTACAGTAAGAACTTAACACTCCACTCACGTATGCAGAGCTCTAAGCGCAGTTTGGTCAGGCTTGAGATCCGGCAACAGTATCTGTACGGACGCCGATACTAAAGCACCGCCGCCATCGAAATCTAAAGACGTTAGCGACACGAAACGAGATGCGTACGAGTTAGAACCCGTCCTGAAAACAAAAGTTTTTGATGTTTTATCATTGACTAGCTTGATTCACCGAACAAACTTTCATCCCCATTTTCACCCGCTTAAAGGATGATGTCCGGGATAAAAAGTATCCTATGTCCTTCCCAAGGTCTCAAACTATCTTCTTACCAAATTTCATTTAAATCGGTTCAGTATATCCAGAGATTACCCCCTACAACGTCATAAACTCACTAACTTATATACTTACAAACTCACAAATTTTACCTCTTTATAACATTAGTAGGTAGATATACAAAAACTCAAGATATACAATCAGCGCAAAATTCAAAACTATGCGCTTTTTTCAAAACTCTTTTATTCATTGCTTTTCGGGTGACAAAATTAAAAAGCACGTTGTTTCGTTTAAGTAAGTATCTACTTTATATGTGGTATGCGTAAGTTCGAATTTGTGTATTAGATTATTTACAATTAGAATTTTCGTTTTTTTTAAATTTTATTCTTTGAAGAGATATGTGTTAGGAAATGTGTATTTATGTTTTTTTAAATCAATGTGTTTTATACTGAAAAGATTACAGTTATGGTCACACCGATATTATTAATGCAAAAGTTATTTTGTTAGTGAGATAGTAAGTGCCTGTTTAATAATAATCAAAATGTTATAGCTGAAACCTATTATATATTTATTATATATAATATATTCTCGTTTTATTTTTTTAAGCTCTCATATTCTAAATTTTAGTTTTCAATTTTTAGTCGCTTTCAAGAAAAGCACTCGATTTAACTTTGTGTGTACATTACGTGTTATTTTCGTCAATAGTGAACCAATTTTCTATATTGACATTTTTTTATTAATTTAGATTTCAGATTATATCGAGCTATTGGATCACCCATATAAATTTAGAAAAACTAAATTTAATCCCTAATCGCTCGGGGTTTTCTTTTAAAATGATTTTGAAATTCATTAGTTATTTCAAGTTAATTTACATGTATATACATTTTACGAGCAAAAGTTTTAATCAAAATATTTTTAATTACAATTTAAATGTAAAACAAGTTACCGGCTAGAACCAAAGGCATGTAAGACATCCAAAGCGGCGTCCAGCCTTTCCGGGGTGAGCTTAGACCCCTGCGCGGGGTACGCACTCGCTAAGTACCACACACAATGTCTCATTGCTGAAGTTTTGCCTGAACCAGACCTGCAAAAATAAGAACAGATATATGTAATGTTTATTTGTAAAGAAAAAAATTACTATTTTCTTTCTCAAGACGATCGCTATGGCACATTTAAATATATGTTATTTTTATTAGTATTACTATAAACGTGAAAGTTTGTGAGTATGTTTTTATGCCCCTATCCTGGATTATTATAAGTTGTTTTATATTTACGTACTCCTAACTACCGAGCGAGCGAAGCCACGGGCAATAACTAGTTCGTCTTTAAAGCTTTGTTCTTTTGTTCAGCCAGTACTTAAATATACTCATTGATATTAATAATTTTCAATTATGACATTTATTATTTTAATGTTGTAACTTTTATGTCATTTTAGGAATCTAGATTAAAATTGACAAAATCCTTTCTAATCGTGTCTTAAAAACATCCTGTTTATGAGCGTTCTATTTTTTTTATAAATCTTGTTTTTATAAGTGTCTGGGATGCCCCAAGAGTAGGTAACCTTGAATATCAAAATAAATGCTATTAAGTCGATTTGTATTTCTAAAAACGCGTTTTGCGCTCATAAAAAAATTAATTTATGATCATTTCATACTGTTGTAAAAACAATATAGCATAAAAATACAATACCTATACATAATTACGATGATTTATAAAATGTTAAAAAAATAAAATCAGTTGTGACATTTATCACCATGCGTGTAGGTATACATTGTTGTCAGGTTATAAAAATTGAAATATCTAAAGATATTTTTGGCTTAAAAACCTAGTTATTGCACGCGGTCCCGCTCACGTGCTAGGTACGTCAATAATAATAATAGACGGACCATTCCGAAGCCACAACTTCACTACAAAGTGAAGAAGTAAGAATCAGACGCACTTACAATCTATCGCATTTAAAGTGCTAGTATATATATTTATTCGAGAAATAACAAAAAACTTAATTCGTAGATAACATTTTAAGACTAAACCGCATAAAAAGCATTAGTATGAATAAAAAAACGTTTTCAATCTGATACCAAATTCATAATATACATAAGTAAATCCGTACTCGCTAGGAAACGAAATAAATTATCTCTACTATAATGAAAACAACAAATAATAACTACATATTAGTATTAATTTAACTAGATTTATACGCTCGAAGTCTAATGGTACATTTCGTACAATTTATAGGACCGCTTCTTGATTTAGCGAGATGCCTTGAATCATAAAAATTTACAATATGTTTGTATATGTAATGTAAATGTGTGTGTATATATATATATATATATATATATATATATATATATATGTGTATTCAGCCCTTTTTTTTAACGTCCGACTGCTAAGCACGGGCCTCCCTTCAGTACGAGGGGGATCAGGCCATAGTCCACCACGCTGGCCAAGTGCGGGTTGGCGGACTTCACATGTCTTTTGAAAACTTGCTAGGTTCTCTCAGACATGCAGGTTTCCTCACGATGTTTTCCTTCACCGTTAAGCCAAGTGGTAATCATGTTGGAAATGATTCGCACATGAAAATATCAGAGGTGCGAGACCCGGGATTTGAACCCGCTTCACTCGGTTTCCCAAGCGAGCGCGTTACCACTGGGCTACCACTGCCTCATATATATATTTATGATATTATTATAAAGTGGCCAAACTCAGCTAAAACGCGGCCTTTACTGCATGAACCCGCACCCATGACCTTAAGTACGGACTTATTCCACGATATACATTGTCCATATACTAGAACTAATATTAAGTATCTTTGAACTTATTTCAGATCCACTCGAACAACCAGGTGCTCAAGCACCCGCTCATGAGATTAACCGAAGTGCAGCCGATCCTCCAATCAGCCGCATAATTGCATACAATTACATGGTACTTATCTATAAAGGTGTACCTCTTCGTTTTAAGAACAGATATTGGCAACAGTTATTGTTTCCGCCAATACTAAACATACATATTTTTATTCCTACCCGCTTCCTTTTATATGAACGCCTGCAATTTGAATGGTCATCATACGCAGTTACTTCGCAATTCACCGTTTGAGTCTCGAGACGTAAACCCGCGCGCGCCTACTATAATTTGCATGGAACGTCCGAGTGCTTGTGACGTGTGCCCTCATGAGTAACATCACCGCCATCGCTATCTAACCGCTGCCGTTATCATCATTGGCGTTGAAGCTGAGATCTGATGCAGAACTCCAGCAAAGTAGGCGTGCGTTTTATTCCCGCTGTCCCCTTCCACATCCCGCAGTCTGTTGTCGTCGCGATAAGTGCCATATAAAATGACTTTATATAAGACAAGCGAAAACAAAAACAAACCTATCCCACGGGAACCGTACATTTCTCCGGGATAAAAAGTATGTTATGTTATTCCAGACTATAATCTATCTCTGTGCCTTTCAATCCAGATCCGTTTAGCCATTTTGGCGTGGTCGAGTAACAAACAACCATACATACAAACTTTCACATTTATAATAGTATAGATTGAAACATTCCTACCTTCCAAGGAAAACAATGGCTCGATCTCGTCTAGAAGCGAGCATACAACGGTGTGCAGACTGTGCCGCCGCGAACACGTGCGGAGGCATATCATCCACACGGCATCCACGAAACATTGCCGCTACCTAGAATATCCATTTGTTAAATAACTATATATATATATATACATACAATATGATTAATTAGTGATTATATTGAATAAGAACTAGAGATTATATATTGACTAATCTGTATAGATATAGCAATTATTATTCATGTACCAATAAATTTACCTTCTCGGTATAAACAGGAGTCGTACGTCTCGGGGGTCCTAGCACCAGCAAAGCGTGCCCAGCCCGAGCGTGAGGTAGAGCGGCGGCGTACCGCGACCGTAGTACGTGCAGCGCACCACACTCATTCAAACAACGGAGGGAAGCTATATCTTCACAGCGTTCCAGTTGTGGTGGATTAGCCTAAATAATCAAAAATACTTGGTTTTAGCCATTGATGAGGGTACATTTAGAAAAAATGTATGAGACTAGGAATAAATTCATGAATTCTATTTATAACCACGATCTTACAGTAGCTGATTAAAAAGCTTTGGTTAGCAGTTTTACCCGCGTTAATGGATAGCCCGAATATATTGTTCGCAATTAAATATCTATATGTATCAACTTTCATGATTAGGGTATCTGTTGGTAAAAGTTGATTCGCTATAATAAAACATCACTACCAATACCAACGAACAATATACCAAAGAATCCTAAAGCAACAACCGGTAAGGAATTGTAGATTTCCGATTTTCCAAACACGAACATTTATATTCTTATTTAAATATGTAGGTATTATTATAACAATTCATATAATAATGTCACGACAAAAACGTTGAATTATCATAATAAATCAATAGCAATCGGACTATTATAATATGAGAACGTGATTCGAAGAAACGATGTAGAATAATAATATTTTCTAATTTGCAACAAATAAATGTCCAACCGTTCATTAATGACCTATGCCTTTTGTAAAATAAAATACTTATCATTAGTTACCTTTGAATATCCATTTGTAGTAGCATTTTGATTAATTCAACACTTAATTTTAATTTTGTATTTACACAAAAACAAACAATAATTTATTACCGACATAATATAACTATAAACAATGGACGAAAAATTAGGCAACAGTACGAAATTGGCGTACGCTCAAAGTCAAAATATTTTATTCAGTATTAAATTATTACATATGTTTACTGAACGTCATGAGCATATCACCAGCTCTGAAAGAAAACGCCTCCATCTTGAGAACTTCGCGCGTTCTTACCGCAACTACGAGCACCTAATGTAGGAATTAGCAAGATATTATTTAGCTAAATTAATAAGCATTAAATCCCTTTTTACATTTCATAGTACCTAGTAGACCTACTATGTTTTAAAGTGTTATAACGAAATGTACTATGGAAAAAACTGTTTAATAGACGGTTACTTACAATTTACTGTATCGAATAAAAACTCATAATAATTAAGAAAAAGGCGTTATAATGCGTTTTAAATGCAATCCCTCTCAACAAATCTAATACATACTATGTGTTTTCTGATATTCTTTACTTCCATCCCGCATCGGTCCTGAACTATCCACTTTCGCTTTAATTGCTGCATATTTAATATAAAATATAAATATTATACAAAAAGTCAACACATAAAACTTACTTTTTCCAAGTCATCTTCATCCACAGTAATCACTTCGCCCGTTTGCAATACACGGACTTTCGCCCTGCCAGCGTCCGCGTCGCCCTCTCTCACGACTGCTGTAAAACCACCGCGATGAGCAAGCCACATATGACCAGCTTGAAGCCATTCTTTTTCGCATGCCAGTTGCTCTTCCGATTTTGCCTGTAAAAGAAATAATGTAAATAAATTTAAAATTAAAATATGTCAATTTTTGTCTAGTATTATAGAGATATTATTTATTATTTTTTATAATCGTTTGTTCACTAGCGACTAACCCTCGCTTCGCTAGTGTGCTTCCCTAGGTACGTTTTTTTTAACTACTTCTTATAACATTAGCGGCAATAGTATGGTTCTTACGGCGCCACGATTTGAAGGCGCATTTGTATAGATCTCGACGAAATAAGACAGAGCAAAAATATATTTTTTTCTATTTTTGCTTAGTTTTGGAATTCGATATATTTTTAAAAACATAATTTTTTTTGTGTAACTCTTACAAAGAACCTCAATAACGCTCAGCCTTAATGAATTAGCATAGTTCAAACTGCTCCCTATGGTTATTTAGTTTATTATAGAAAGATTTTGTTTGCAAATTTGCTTTAAGGAACACTTATTAACTGTAATAAATATTATCTACATATACTCAACATGATAGATATTATGTAAATCACCATTTGCATATAAAGTTGAAATTAAAATAAAAAATATTTTATATAACAAAATAATGTGTAACGTTAAACGTGTAGATAAATATGTAAATGTTAAAATTATTCGGAAAATCTTAACATAATTGTAAAAAAAACCCGGTTAAGTTAAATAACGTTAGACACCGTGTTGTATTTAAAAGCATTTCTTTATCGCCTATGTGATTATCATGTTATGCGCCTGCGCAGGAAGTACAGGTTCTTCTAACGGCCTTGATCACTATGCGCGAATTTATGTATATTTGATGGAGGCGCTTCAGAACTATTTATATTTATCACTAGGCAGCGGGATTTACATAGTATATTACGACTGTTTAATAAACATTAGTCTTGTTATATTATTATATTAAACTGTAAAAAGAACAGAAACGAGGATGTTAGCGCCAGTTTTTATAGCAATAAAATCACTCCAGAAAATGCCATGAAATTATAAATACGTAAATACTCAATACTTTATTAGTTCTCCATACTCGTTATACCTAATATAGATGCATAAATTAGCCAATATGGGCAATATTTATTTGTACAATGCGTGTCTAAACTTAGAAATACAGGATATTTAAATGGATATACATCTATTAAGTAATGAGTAACGATTACATTTATGTAACATATTAAATGTTTTATTAAAATGTCAAATATTCGCGTAAATCTAAGAAAAATATTATTTTACCAAACATCCGAAAATAAATTTATTCAAAAATCGAAAACCAAGAGGACTTGCGTATTATCATAAGTGTTGACAAAAGATCACAACGTTGGAAATATGTAATACATACATACATATATATTATATATGTATACTATACAATACATGCATACGAGTATGTATAGTTCTATTTCTACATCAACCTTAAAATATTATTTTGAAGTGAATAAATGCGCCTACCTGTCTTCCTCGCAAATTACCACCTTTTAAATTATTCTTAGTCCGCACATTTATCTCACTTTGGCGGGAACAATTATCACCTCGCGGAGGATTTTGATTAGACACAGGTAATTCTAACACCCTATTTGGCGAATGTTCATTTATAAACGTGGTCTTAAAAAATAAAACTATAGCAAAAAATAACATTTTTAGCCAATTAAAAATTTCGTATAGTCGCTTAATAATAGACATAATTAATTCAAATAATATGTATAGAATTGTTACGCGGTCTTTGAGCTAGTAATTGAGAGTCACCCACACACGCCGCGCATGCGCAACAGGAAGGGTTTTTAACATATTACCTATTGAAAACCTACGCGTACGTACACATGACACAAATCTCATTAAAAGCAATTATCCGTTCATAATACGTCTCAATATACAAGTATCAGACGGATAAAAAAACAGTTCATAAAATATTTTCCTTAGACTTAATGGCGTCTCGACGCAAGAGTTACACTTCGCGTTACCTATGAAACGAAAGGTCCTGGGTTCGATTTCTTGTAGGTCATTCTTATCATTACACTTAATGTATTAATAATATTCTTAAAACAATGTACTCTACATTATTTGTTTATGTGATAATATCTAATTTTTAGGAAACAATTTTAAAGATTCTTTAGTCAATAGAAAACTAGACTATCCCTAGGTAACCTAGATTTCATGAACGCATACAACGCGATGAGACTGTTGAAAAATTATAAGTATATTGCATTGCATTCTCTCGATCAGTCTTAAAGACAGAGCAAAAAAAGCTGTTGGAAGAACCTAACATACCACACATCTAATAAAAAAAGATACAACCGTTTTTTAAAGTTATTTTGATCATATCCTGTATGTAGCAGATTTAAAATTATAGGTAGTACATTGTTTTTAAAACGTGTATTTAGGTAGGTACCTACTTCAATATTTTATCGTTCGTTTTGAATCAATCAATGACTTATTACACCAAAAGCTCTTTCTGAATCTACGACTTAGTATGATAAGTTTTTATTTGAAAAACAAATAAATGAATATTGAATGGCAAAATATTTGTAGCAATTTAAAGTGTAAATTAAATTCAATGAAATTCGTAATATTTATCAAATATGTATGTACAATATAAATAAATGTTCAAGGATATCCATATGTATGTTTTGTCGTTATATAACCCCCAGTACCACTAACATAACATTAAAAGCGTATGGCTTCGGATACTGTACTATCACCATAATCTGTTTAAAAATAATTTGTACTGGAAAATCAATTCAAGATATTGTATGTAATTGTTATTGATACTATGGGATTGATGCATTTATCCGACAACCATTGCGTATTTTACTAGAGGTCAGGGCTTCAATTCCGAACGAAATAAACGTTTGTAATAATAAAACTCTCATGTAACAATATCATCATTATTTCATGCCCAATATCATCCCAGACACTCATATAAACAGATAATTTTAACTCATATAAACATTTAAAGGATTAATTTTATTGTACATAGCATTTCCTTATTTATTAAATATACTAGATGACTGTTCTTTCAATGTTGAGTTCATCCAAAGATTAATCCTCTTAAAACTTTGTTGGGACTATTACGAATATTTAAGAAAGGCCGTTTGCCAACGAACGGCATTTTTATTTTACTTATTGAATAAGGTGCTAAGTGAAATGATTTCAATTTACCTAATAGCGTTTTCTTCCAAAAATAAGAAAACGACGTGCTGACGTTTAAAGTGATAAGAAACTTTCCTACTTAAATGCTTATTTTAGGGCAGAACGATTTACGGCTTCATTTAACTATACTTAGCAGGTGTTTTACACCAACTGTCATGTTTAACCCAGTTTAAGTACATACCTGATACCTTATCTTTCATAGTTTATACTCTTCATATGAGAGTGGAAAACCCTAACTGATTTTAAGAACTGGTAAAAACGAGCGTTCTTCATTTATACATACAAATGTAGATTACGGAGAAATTCATTCAATGAAGTGATACATCAGGTCATGCATAACCAAAACTACCAGATCTAGAAATCATAATATAGAAATTAATCTCTGACAATCGCATAGGGCCATAGGCCATAGGCAATTTAATTGGAAAGCCTAAAAACTAAAAATTGGTAAAATATGATCTGTCAGAACGGCTTAAGTGATTTTAATGTGTCTACTCTCTAACACAGGTGACTGTGACTTTGACTATTGTTATCGTTATAATCTGGAATAGAAGACCATGATAGATTTTGACCATAAAATAATACTCTCATCAAGGACCTAGAGAATGAAGTGATTTTAAATAATTCAGTACGATATTATTTAATAATATGTCTGTACAAATACGAGTGCTACAAATAATAAACTGTGCCGAATGCAACGGTTCTTATAAACCCAGCCTCCAAAATGATCACGATGTCATCTTCAATCAAAATTTACATATTAAACTCATAAGGTTCACAAGAATTTAGAGAGGAACGTGTACAGGCAAATACAGAAATATAGACATGGCATAAGTTGCATAACTTTGTTTGTTACTTCGTGATGAAATCAATATGTAATTAATTTATAATATACTAATGATTTCTTACTTCTCCGATCGCATAAAAAAACGAAAATAGGTAGCTTACATATGCGATATAAGTTCATCCAGGATTTTTTTGCAGATTTATTTGGATGTTTCGTTCCTGACGTTTCGAATGCTTTAGCATTATTAGCAGCATTCATGGTCACGGGAGAGACTGAGGTGTTAGATGTCTCGAAGGTGTAGTTGTTACAGACAGCCTACCCACAAATAACAAAATGAAAATTGCACCAATTACCTTACAATATTTTTTACCTTTAAACATTTTTATAATTTTAATTAGTTTTATAACTGAATATGGAATACTATTTATTTAATTTAAAATGTCAAATATTTGCGTAAATCTAAGAAAGTATTAAGTTCATCCAGGATATAAGTTAGAACAATTCCTTTCTCTTAAATTCCTTTGAGTCTTAAATTCCAGTATGGCGAAGTCTCTTCCACAACCTTTTGCATTTATAATTAATATACTGCTAGACGTATGATTAACAATTTAAAACTTTAGAAAAGTAATTAAATATTTACAACATAAAATCATTAGCCATGAAAAGCAATTTATAGCTTTGTAGCGTTTTATATGTTCGTGCTAATTTTCTTGCGATGTAGATAAAGAGAATACTCAACATAGATATATATCTTGATGATTTGCTAGAAAGTTAGGCCAACCGTAGCTAGCCAATAAGTTAAGATTATACGAGTCTCTCCCGTGACCATGATTGCTGTAAAGCATTCGAAACGTCGGGAACCAAAAAAAATCAAAATAAATTCGCGAAAACATCCGAAAAGATAGTTTTATTTAAAATGTCAAGTATTCGAGTAAAACGAAGAAAGTATTATTATACGAGTATTTATAAAATCATAAGTTTTTTTTTAAATAAATATTAATTTTACTTATTCGATATTTAAACTAGTAGACTCGACTCTATTGTAATGATGACGTACGTAGTACAAATGTGCTATTGTTTAAGAAAA